GAAGGCAGTCGCTTAACCAACTGAGCCACCCAGGCGCCTCTCGAGCAATATTTTTTAAGGGGTGTTGCCCCAAGAAGAGAAAGCAAAAACCACTCAGATCTTTAGGTTTCTAAGCATTTATTGTATATTTGCAGCATAAAAATGTTGACGTAGACTCAGTGCCTGCATAAGTTACTAAGGAGGAGGAGTGAAAGTATGTTTTTAGTAACTCTTCTGGATTTTTTTCCCCACTAGGGTACTCAATACTTCAAGCTATTATGGAAAAAGCAGGACAAAATGGTTGGCATGTCAGCGCTATATGTGTGGAAAATTTTAATGATGTCAACTATAGGCAACTTCTAGAAGAACTCGACAGACGACAAGAGAAGAAATTTGTAATAGACTGTGAGATAGAGAGGCTTCAAAACATATTAGAACAGGTAAGTCCTGGATTTTATATTATTATTACCATAGACCTTCTACAAAAAGTTGACTTTTGATTTACTTTTTTCCCATCAATATTTTCTCCAAACCATTTAGTCTGAAGTGCAGAGTTCAGGAATTTTCATTCCATGATTCATCTCTAAGACTAAATCATAATCCTTTATCACCAAAGGCCATTTTGGCTCGTAGGTCTCAGTGCAGTGAGGAGCACGATTTCTCACACATTTTAAAGACCTACCATAGCAAGGACCTTTTGTGAATCACCAAGAGCTCTTGGCCTCCTACGTTCATAAACATTAATTTTGAAGATTAATTGAAGATTAATGCCATCTAGAATCTTAGAAAGTTTTAGTATTCATGACTCTGTGCCTTTTCTAACCTTCAGAAAAATAGCTACACGAGAACTAATAACATGAAATAGTAAAGCAATGAAATAAAAAGTTAAATGGCGCACTGTGCATAGCATATCTTCTTCTAGATGTTTTCAATGCATTACCACTACAGTGAAAATGGTTTTCAACTCTTTTCACAAATGAAGACTCCTTTGATAAATCTTTCAATAGTCGTTGATTTGATTTGAAGCAGACAGGAAAAGGTAAAATTGAGCTTTGTTATTGTGTTAAATGATAGGAAAATATCATCAAATAATGGGTAACATTTGCCTTCCTCCTAACCCTGCATCTCCCGATCAGCTTCAAGCTATATTTGGCCAAAATTGCAGTGAATGATTGCCACCTAGTGGTTTCAGAAATGTATGCTCCTGCTGACCTACGGTGAGCCGTTCTGGCTAAGGCAATATTGTCGCATGATGTCTTGTTGGTTACTTTGCTACATATAGTTTGCATAATAATATGATGTGATTTGTAGTAGTAAACTTAGAAATTCGTAGGTTTATTTATAACAATAACTTAAGTACTCAAATAGAAAAAGCAAAACCGAAATACGTTTCAGAGATTCCTCCTTCATATCAAAGGGCCCTAAACTAGATGCCTTTCAGTTTCCCTCCTCAACTATATCAGAATTTGTAAAAGTTAAAAGTGAAAAAGCATGCGGTATTTCTTTTTCAAGGTCTGGTGAAGCCAATCTATACTGTAAGAGGAAACGATAGTATTCACTTCCTGTTAAGTTTTCATAGAAGAAAAAAACTTGATTGAAGAAATATATTTATATTATATTGGAAGACATTCATTATAAACCTGTATGCCACTCAGCTTTATCCCTGAGGGACTCCAAAAAAATAAGTTTGCAACTATTCAAGCAAGGTATATAGAATTTTTAAGCGTGTATTTATGGAATCCAAGAAAAAACTTTTGTACTTTCTTAAGCAAGACAGTCACTTCAGCTCAAACTCTGTTCTCCCTCCCTCTCACTCCCACCCCTGTGTTGAGAGTTGAGTTGTTTGATGTGAACAGCTGAAGCTTTGTAAATACCTCCTCATGAATCCCACAGAGCAGTCAATTCTGAGAACTGCCCAGATTGCCAAGTTCCTGTCAGAGGGCGAGGAAGGCTCAGAAAGACCCTCCACTTACCACCTGTGCTTAAAAGACTGTCTGGAGAAGGCAGTGGAATGCCTACAGCACACTGACCCATTTCAGAGGCTTAGCTAGTTTCTAAGAGGAAAATCGGCATGCCCCCGCGCTTTGGATAAACTCTAATAACAAGCCTTAAAGAAAATCTTGCTTAGGGGAACAAGACAGCGTTTTTTGTCATCTCAAAAATATTGTTTTTATATTCTTAGCCTTATTGAGATATGACTAACATACGATGTTGTGTAAGTTTCATGTGACAGTATGGTAATTTGATACACTAATGTATTGTGAAGTGTTTACCATAGCAGGGCTGGTGAATGAACAATTCTGTCCCTTCACATGGGTACCATTTTTGATGGGGGGGGGATGAGAATATTTAAGATCTGCTCTCCTAACAACCTTCAGATATATAATACGGTATTGTTAACTATGGTCACCGTGCTGTACAATAGATCCCCAGAACTTAGAAAACTGAGTGTCTACCTTTCCTGTGTCTCTTCTTGCTGGATTCTAAAAGGTTTCTTTTCTCTCATGACTGCATAGTAATAATGAGACTTTGTCCCTTTAAAATGCCTCTCAAGGATAAACCTAATCAGTTGTACAGTGTCTCCTGTATTATGAGAACATAATATACTCTAAATTGTCCTATAAAATTTTCCCTAAGAAAGATGTTTTCTGATCCTTAATATGATTTTTTTTACTACCGATACTTTAATTCCTTGTAGCTTTAAGCCAAATCATTTTTAATGTTTCTTGGTTTTACTCTTGACTCATCCAAACACAAGAGCTAATCCAAACTGTGTCAAGAGTTTCTACATGTACTTTAATACCCCCATATTTCTGCAGCCTCTTTAATAATTTGAGGTAACAGTGGAAAACAATTGCAGAGAATCAACCAATGCCTTTTTTAAAAAAGTAAAATGCTAAATAACCTTGATCAGAAAAATGCTTTTGAAACGAAGTAGCTATCTTTCAGAAGATGGTGAAGTTAATATAATGAAGATAAGGGGATGTGTTAGTAGATTATAGAAAGATGAGCACGCTTAATATTGGCATGTGACCAATAACTGCTTTGTGGATATTTTAATTCGTATAATTTTTCAAAAACATAATGGAAATGGCTCCCACAATTTTCTCTTAAAATCTGTGAATGGACAACTGTGTTTAGAGAACCACTTCATCTTCTGCACATGTTTTCCAAATTATTTTTATGTCACAAACTAATTAGTTCTTATAAATGTATTACTGTTTATTTTTTTAGCATTGCTTTTCTTTAATCACTGCCCAGAAGAGTTATAGGATGTATCTGAAATTTCAAATTAATTACAATTAGTTGTTTTAAGAATTTTACATTATCTTTTTAACTTAATTATAAAAATTCTAAGGCAGTAGATCTCAAACAATAGTAGGCTTAAGAATCACCTGGGGTGAGGTGTCAGCTTTGCTAAAAATGCAGGATTTTGTCCGTATCTTTAGATAGTTTGCTTGAAAAAGTCTGTCCTGGGACCCAAAACACTACCATAAGAACAAAATTGTAACTAGAAATCTATGATAAGGACAACAACAAAACTAAGATGTTTATTAAAGCTGAAGTTCTTTCTATAAAGGGTGAGTAAATTAATGTTTCATATCTATACTTTTAAATGTGTGCTATATTTTTTTGAGTTTCAATGGGCTTATTTTTTAATGTTTCAAGTTTTTGTTTAAATTATAGTTAGTTAACATATAGTGCAGTATAGTTTCCAGAGTAGAATTTAGTGATTCATCACTTATATATAACACCCAGTGCTCATCCCAAGTGCCCTCCCTAATGCCTGTCACCCCTCCAGCCCATCCCCTTCCTACTTCCCTCCAGCATAGTTTGTTCTCTATAGTTAAGAGTCTATTTTATGTGCTGCCTTCCTCTCTCTTTTTTTTCTTTCCCTTATGTTCCTCTGTTTTTCTTAAATTCCCATATGAGTGAGATCATATGGTATTTGTCTTTCTCTGACTGCCTTATCTCACTTAACATTATACTCTCTAGCTCCATCCATGCTGTTGCACATGGCAAGATTTCATTCTTTTTTGAGACTGAGTAATAGTCCTGTGTGTGTGTGTGTGTGTGTGTGTGTGTACCACATCTTCTTTATCCATTCGTCAGTCGATGGACACTTAGGCTGAATCCATAGTTTGACTATTGTAGATAATGCTCTATAAACATCAGGCTGCATATATTCTTTTGAGTCAATCTCTTTGTATCCTTTGGGCAAATACCTGTAGTACAATTGCTGGGTCGTAGGGTAGCTCTATTTTCAACTTTTTGAGGAATCTCCATACTGTTTTCCAGAGTGGCTGCACCAGCTTGCATTCCCACCAACAGTGTAGGAGGGTTCCCCTTTCTCCACAACCTCGCCAACATCTGTTGTTTCTTGTGTTGTTAAATTTAGCCATTCTGACAGGTGTGAGGTGGCATCTCATTGTATTTTTGATTTGTATTTCCCTGATGATGAGTGCTGTTGAGCATTTTTTTATGTGTCTGTTAGCCATCTGTGTGTCTTCTTTGGAAAAATACCTACTCATGTCTTCTGCCCACTTCTTAACTGGATTACTTATTTTTTGGGTGTTGAGTTTGATAAGTTCTTTACAGATTTTGGATACTAACCCTTTATCAAATATGTCACTTGCAAATATCTTCTCCCATTCTGAAGGTCGCCTTTTAGTTTTATTGATTGGTTCCTTTGCTATGCAAAAGTTTTTTTATCCTGATGAAGTCCCAATAGTTCATTTTTGCCCTTGCTTCCCTCGCCTTTGGAGACGTGTCTAGTAAGAAGTTGCTGTGACTGAGGTCACAGAGGCTGCTACCTGTGTTCTCCTCTAGGATTCTGATGGTTTCCTGTCCCACATTTAGGTCTTTCATCCATTTTGAATTTATTTTTGGTATGGTGTAGGAAATGGTCCAGTTTCATTCTTCTGCATGTGGCTGTCCAATTTTCCCAACACCATTTGTTGAAGGGACTGTCTTTTTTTTCCATTGGACATTCTTTCCTGCTTTGTTGAGGATTAGTTGACCGTAGAGTTGAGGGTCCATTTCTGGGCTCTCTGTTCTGTTCCATTGATCTATGTGTCTGTTTTTGTGCCAGTACCATACTGTCTTGATGATGACAGCTTTGTAATAGAGCTGGAAGTCCGGAATTGTGATGCCGCCGGCTTTGCTTTTCTTTTTCAACATTCCTCTGGCTATGCGGGGTCTTTTCTGGTTCCATACAAATTTTAGGATTGTTTGTTCTAGCTCTATGAAAAATGTTGATGGTATTTTGCTAGGTACTGCACTGAATTTGTAGATTGCTTTGGGGAGCATAGACATTTTAACAATATTTGTTCTTCCAATCGATGAGTATAGAATGTTTTTCTATTACTTTGTTTCTTCCTCAGTTTCTTTCATAAGTATTCCGTAGTTTTCAGAGTACAGCTCTTTTACATCTTTGGTT